ATATATTCCAATAAATTCCAATAAATATAGTATTAATTCTGAAGGATAAATTTATTCGTAAGGATAAAGCATGTATGTATATGCCCCGAACAAACTATAAATATTATCCATATTAATATAATAATACAGTCGCTTGGTAAGTTAATCATGGATTAAGTTAATTGCAGTGACTCTTTTTAATTCGAAACCACCTCGAATCAATTGAATTTGATTAAAAAATGACGATATGAAATTTATCAATAAAGTTCGGGCACTGGTTTATTCTTGTGTTCACATCAGGCATAAATACATCATCGATCACATAATTAATATTTCGATAAATCGTTTTCAGCAGCTTAATTGCTTATCGTTTTATCCGATAATGATGCATTGATTGTAGCCAAACGCGATATTATACAATCTTTTAATTTCATATTTAAAATAAATATAAAACTTAGCTAATGAAATGGCTGTCAAATAATAGATCAATAAATTTTTTATTTAAATATAAAATGAATTATATTAATTATTATATCATAAAAACGACTGTTAAACTAAAAGACTGTACTACATAAATTGTAAAAACTTATATTTTTATATTATTATTATTGTAACAATTGAAGAATTACAGTTTTGCAATGTTTGTGGAATATTACAAGCATATTACTGACATTTTGCAGGCATATTATTAATTTACATTTCTGTAATATCTGCAATGTTACATGTAATATTGCAACATTGCAGCAATATTGCTTCAATCTTCTGTGCTGGGAGGTTTGTCAAGTGATTCTAGGATAGAAATTCAGTTAAGGTATTTTGTTGACTACAATCGCGCTAGAAAGTTAATCGCGTACAATCTACGAATATGCCTCTCCGCGCATGCTCTTTGAAGACAGAAACTTTTGAGGCGAACGTACATACGCACGCATAAATGTCGTATCTGTGTGCACGAACACTAGTCCGCAGTTGAAATGTGGCAACAGTCTTTATCTCGTCACTCGGCGTGCGAGAAGGAAAATTCTATCAAATTACATATTTAAACTACTCTAATTCAGAAACGGCACCGCTAGGCCTCCCCATTTTTTTTTATGAAGTTCCTATAATTATTTCTACATTACATATTTATTTTTTAAAAAAATCTAAAGAAGATTTTCGCCGCAAAATATTAAAACGTTACTTCGGCAAGGCTTGGTATAGGAGTTTACGTGTTAAAAGCTAAAACTTTGAAGGTGAATATTTCCATTTCAGCATCGCTAGGGTCTTTGAAATTTTAACCATATATAGATAAAATTATTTCAAACATAATATTCAAATTTCAAACAAATCTGTAGAAACTCAATTTCTCGGAGAAATACCTTAATAACGGATGAGGTAGGCAAATTTTTTTCTGTATTTATATTGCTTATGTTAATTTAATTCGAAATTTTTTTACCTTTAAGGAAAATGAGAGAACATACAAAAGCAAACTATATAGATGAAATTGTAGACATAAAGGAGTGCATTCGCGGTACTCGCCTCTGTGCGGAAACCTGTGAGACAAGAGTTTGACAATTCCTTCTAAATACTATCACCATTTCCGCTCCTTTTCTCTCCAATAGAACCATAAATTTAAAACTTCCAAGGGTTTGAACGTATAACATTATTCTGGCACATATTGTGTAGGGTCTGATGGGCTTTTTTACATTTTTCACTGATAGATTCTTTCGAGCCTCATTATAGATATATTTGTTTATCTTCCAAAACATATACGATTGTAGTATCAGAATGGGTTTTGATGAGTAATGCCATTTTCATATTGAGGCTCAAAACTTTGTAAACAACTCTCGTAAATTGAACCTTGTAGAATTGTAGAATAAACTTTGGCGTGCACGAATAAAACAAATTGTTTTCTACAAGTTTTTTGAATTGCATCGTACAACTTAACATTTTCTACTTAAAATGATCTCTTAATCATTACGCGCGCTATAATTTTTTTTCACTGAAGTGTAACGATATGAAGTGAATAATGAATTTTCAGGTCTTTCGCTAAAAACGATTTAAAAAATTATTTAAAAGCGCAATATGGTTCTCTCTTAGAAATTGTCGCATAATGTTTGCGGTGTGAAAACGTACATTAAGATAAGTCTATTTCTTATCTGATTTTTAAGACAGAATCATATTGAGATTTTAAATCATCCTCCAATGTGTGCGAGTGTATATGTTACATGTGTTGAATGTGCGCAGCATGGTGCGTGCGTGCGTGCGTGCGTGCGTGCGTGCGTGTGCGCGCGCGCGCGCGCGTGCGTATAAGCGTGTACATATGTATGTATGTACGTGCGCATGTGACACGTGTTGCATGCATGTGTATGTGTGCGTGTATGTGCAACATTAAAGCATTCAAGAATACATGCGTACGTTATACCTAGTACACATAAAAGAAAGCATTAAGTTATCTAAAAGAGATTTAACAGGTTACTCAGATTCTATGACTTCAAGACTTCATATCTTTTTACTCGTTTGTTCTCTGTAGATGCAACAAAAAAAACGTTAATTGTTAAGAATCATAAAAAAACTACAACATATCTCAAAATGGAGCAACAAACCGGCTAAACTTTCCATACGAAATGTGTGGATTTTATTTATACAAGTGTAAGCATATTTCATTTTTATTTCTTTTATGGAAAAACTCTACAATACCTTATAAAAATAAGTTTTTCATATTTATTAAGCCAAGAGATTTATACATAAGAAAAAAGAAAAAAAAATATATATATATAAGCACACTATTATTATTCCATAATTAAAATTTTTTTGCTTTGTATCTGTACTTTACATCAAATTACGTTTCATGTCAAGTACAATTAAAGATAAGATTGATAATTCTGTTATACATGTGTTTATAGAAGATAATATAAAAAGATATATATAAGCGCTCTTGTGAGAGAAATAAAAGCATGTAAGCAAAAGATAAGAATTGTTAGATGTAAATAGATTAATGAATGTTTCCGAAATGGGCAAATACATGAAATTAATGAAATTAATTACTTAATTGAATATTAATAAATGTATATAATATTAATGTAT